ATCTGAGGGGCCTGGAGGTCCCCATCCCACGCAGAGATGGAAACACCACTCTGGGAAATCGGAGCTGTGTTGCAAGCACCATCTTGCAACACCAAGCAAGAGCTGCTGGCCTAGTGGCACCATCAGAGGCTGTTTGGCTCCCGTCACACCAGTGTCCTGTGGGCCATCCTCTGGGGGATGGCTCAGTTTGCAGGCTGTCAGGGTACATGGGACAGCAGACTTTCACCTATAGAAGTGTGAAAACAAGCACTGATGTCCAACAAGGGAAACGACATCCCAGGGCTGTGCCACAGCCCTAGCTCTTGTCTCTGAAATGATGCCCCAGTTATCACGTGTCATGTCCAGCACCCTGACTCTGACGTGGGGAGATTGCAGTCATGTCCAGGGGGAGTTTGGCCCCAGAATATCCGTATGATGAGGCTTTCAAAGAGACAAATTTAGGATTTTTTTCTGTCTCCAGCTTATACATATAACTAAATGCACATAACCTGTGCTTTTGTACCTCACCCTGCCACCGGCCCCTGTTCGGAGCAAGCCCTAGTTTGTATTACTGAGGAGAGGTCTGTAGATTAAAAAAACCTGTGTTTTTCCATGAAAGACTGATATTTGGAAAGCTGTTGAAGGGGATTTGGATACTCACTCCGAACATTAATTCAAAGGAAAAGGAAGGCAGCCTGCAGCCCCACGCAGGGGGCTCTGACAGATCCCATCCCACAGGACTAAATCGGCAGCGAGCAGAGCCAGCGCGCTGGTACGTCCCTGCGGAAGAGGCACACGTGCTTCGCAGGAGCCGTGGGCCTAGAGGGAGCCGCGTGCCTCGGTCAGGGTTTTGGAGCAGATTTTGGGCTACTTGGCTTGAAATTTGCCAGGCAGAGGCTGAAAAAATCCCCTGTTGAAATGAGACAAGAATATCAGGGGGGTAAAGGTGGAGGAGCTGCTCGAGTGCCCTGACACGGCCAACCTTTCCCTTCCCCCGGGCCTCCCTGAAGCCCTGCGGTTTCTGCCTAAAATGTGCTGCTGACCTCTGGTAGCCCCTCTCTCTGCTTTCCATGCTGTGCCTGGGAGGGTCGGTGAGGTGGGGAAGGGGGGAAAGGGGAAGTGGGGAAGGAGGGAAAGAGAAGGGGAAAGTGGGGAGGAGGCTGGGGAAGGGGCAAGGGAAGGGGCAAGGGTGTGAGCGGGGCCATCGGAGGGAGCCGTCTGGGCCGCGTTATGTGGGCGGGGACTCCCTCCTCCTGTCGGGACAAGTCACGATAGACCTGAGAGCCTAAAAAAGCAGGAGAAGCGGGAAGGGAGGGGGTCTGCCCGGCTTGCATGGAAAACAAAGTTTAATTCGGAGGAACGGGGATCAGCGGGGCGAGGAGCTGAGAATTAGGGTGGCCACTCCGGCCCGGGGGGGGGGCTGCCGGAGGGGCTAGGGGCCGCCTGCGGGAGCAGTGGGCGTCCCCGGGCCTCCTGGCCCGGCTGGAGGCGCAGGTGACCCCCGGCAGCCCCGCCGGTGTGCGCTGAGCATATGGGCTCCCCCCGCCTCCCCGTAACCCTATCTGGCCGGAGCCGCGGCTTCAGCTGCCGGCGATGCAATCAGGGGAGCCCTGCGGGGCACTCGTTCGTGCAGGGGAGCATATGGGGAACCAGGCAGGCGGGAGGGGGCTGGGGGCCCGGCAGGGCGGCTAATTTCGTTTGCAGGTAGCCCAGGAGGAGGGGAGCCGGGGGAGCACAGCTGGCGGCCCGGCCCGGCCCGGCCCGGCCGAGGGGCTGACAGCAACCGGGGCTGCCCCCCCCTCCGGGGGCGGAGGCAGCCCTAGTGTGAGCCGCAGCGGGCGGCCAGGGGAGTGCGGAGGGGGCCGGACTGCCCTCCCTGCTTTTGCCACCGCGGGGCCCGGTGGGGCAGAAATGCCCCCGCAGAAGAGTCGGATCCCGCCCGCTCCCGGGGCGGTGCTGCCCGTCGGGGGTCCCCGGGGCCACCTGTTAGCGACGGGAAAGGCCCTCTGGGTGGGAGAGCGCGGTCGGGGAGGCAGACGAGCAGGATTTACCGGCTTCTGGCCACTGCCGACTTTTGCATCTGTCAGGGTGCTAATTATTGCCTTTAATAGAGACAAAGAACAGCTCCTAATGATGCTCCCTCTAATTCTCACCTGCTCCTGCCCTTCTTCCGCAGCAGCACTCCCTCGCCGGAGCCCTGCTAATTGGGAAAGCTGCTCTGCTTATTGCGGACTCCCTACAGATGGGGGGGGGGCGCGGACGGCAACGGCAGGGCCGGGCCGGGGGGAAGAGGTGCGGACACCGGTAGCGGGGCTCCAGGGGCAAAACCGGGGGGGGCTACATCCTAAGCGGGGCTGCTCTGACGGCAGCTCCCCATCCTCGCCCCGGCGCGGCGGGGCTCAGCGTCCCCGGGCCGCCGCGGGCTCGGCGGAGGAGCAGCCTTTGCCTCCGCACTGCGACGGGGGTCTGCGGTGGTCTCTGCCCCTTCTCCGGCCTTTGGCTTGCAGCGGAGCCTGGCAGGAGGGCGCCCGTCGGGGGGGCCGTCCCAAGCCGCTGGCACACACCTGGCTGTCAGCCCCCTGTTTGGCACGACTTTCTCCCCCCGCCGCCGGAGAAGGCAGAAGCGGAGGGTCTGGTACCGCACGGATCGCCTTCAAAGCCGCAGACCGACACAGAGCTAGCACCCTAAGGCGGCTTTAAAGAGAGGGGCAACCTCCAGTGCCCTCCTGGCCACCAGGGTCAGGGCCGGCCCTCCTGCTGGAGAAGGCCACCGGGGCAGTCGGCGGGATGCTCGGCGTTGGTCCCCGGCGTTAAACGGGGTTTGTTTGCCAAAACCGGTACTGAGGGTCCTGGGAAGAGGAGCTTCTCTCCCGGGGCCGGGGGACATTGGGCTGGGTGTCTCTGGAGGAGGGGGGCTATTTCTCATCATCACTGGGGGGATGCTGGGGTGGGGGGCACTCCTTTCCGAGCCCCGTTTCCCTTCCCTGAAAGGGTTGGCATGGGGCGAGCCGCAGAAGGAAGGAGCAAACCCAGCAAGGCAGGAACCCGGAGGGGCTGTCAGGCCGGGACCGGCTCACACCCCGCGGGGACCCCAGCCTGCCCCGGCCGCCTGGGAACTGCTTCGCTTTACACGGTAAAAAAAAAAAAAGAAAAAAAAAAAAGGCCCCCCGCGTCTGGACTCGCTCTCATTCCCTCGCGGGTGTCTGTGCGCCCAAAACTCCTCCATGGCCTGTTATAATATATACCTTATATATGCTATTTTGTATTTATGCGTATGTGGCTAGCTAGTTATGTTAAACAGCTCCCTAGCCGTTTCTCGGTCTAGAGAGAGAGAGATGTGTAAGGATTTGCTTGGGCAAGGACGCGGGTTTTGCGGTCTCCCTGCCCACCCGCAGCCCGGGGCGCGGTGCCGGGCGGGAGAGGCCCCCCCGGGACGGGCGGCGGCG